ATAGTTGCACGGAGAGGGAGTTCTAGCCCTGGTAAACTTCATGGACTCGCATTTTTCAGCATTTGTTCCTAAAAGCCACGAGCCAGTGACTTTATCTAGACTCTCCTGGGCAGTGATGGACGTTTGAGATGGAGGACAGTAATTATAGATTAACATATCATCAGCAAACATTTCTGCAGGACTTGATAAAGATTCAGGGATGTCATTGACGTATAGGATAAATATGTGGAACACCAGATGTGACAGGCGCCCAGTCAGATTGGCAGCCCTCGATTACAACACGTTGAGATCGACCTTGGAGAAAATTGGATAGCCAGGAAAGTAGAGAGCCGGTAATGCCAAAGCGTTCTAGTTTGAGTAGAAGACAGTCGTGAGGAACTGAGTCGAAGGCCTTTTCGAAGTCCAGAAATATTACATCGGTGGAGAGGCGTTTATCTAGTGCTTTGGCCCATTCATGGAAAAGGTGTATCAACTGAGAGATACAGGAGTAGCCAGGACGAAAGCCATACTGATGACTACTAAGTAGATTATTTGATTCAATAAATCCAAAAATGCGATTGTATATCAGTCTTTCCAGGGTCTTTACAAGCAGACTTGTAAGAGAGATAGGACGATAATTCTTGACTAGATCTTTTTGGCCCTTTTTGAAAATTGGAATGACGTGAGCAGATTTCCATTGTTTTGTACCTGTGCTCTAAATAGTCCTGTAGAGAATGGCTCCCATGAGGAAATGTAGTTAAAGTACAGCTCTGCAAAGTCCTAAGGACAGAACATCCACACAAGAAAATATTCAGATAAGTAAAAAAAGCAAATTGCCCAATTTTTCATTAAATTGGAACGTAATAATTGATAGGGACGAATTGATTACTTGGACTGTGATGTTATCTCAATTGATGACTTCATAAACAGATAAATTGTGTAGAATGTGAACTGTTCCTACCTTCCATAATTGAACAACGATGTGGCATGTACTCCTCTGTTGGAAAATGAAAACAAAAGTAGAAGTAGTCATCCAAATTAGTTAATTAAAATTGTGACTGAGATTCTTGGGGTACTTCAGTTTTAGTTGAAATCGACCACTTATATTAAGACAACTTTTTAACAATTATCAATTATTTACCTATCCTTCTTGTGTATCTTACACCACAAGTATGCATAAGTTGAATTAGCTATACTTAGCTCCATAAACCAGCAGCAGAAACTCTAAGGGGAAAAAATCTAAGATTACTGTTTGACTACATAAATGTATCATCAACATGAAGTTATGAAGCCCATTACTGTTATATTTTTAGTAATGATATTTTATTTTCATTGTGCAATGCTATATTTGATTTGTTCCTTATTTTCTTAACATTTCCTGTAAGAAAAAGTGGCCAATCACAAATATTGAAATCAAATGATAGTAAATAATGCATCATTAGCTCACCTTGTGATCACCTCCCAGGTATATATCTACTCCAACTTTCTTGCCATCAATTTCAATGAAACCATCATCAATGATCTTATTTGCTTCTAAAAATATATCTCTAAATGACTCCTCCAAAGTCTGGCAGCTCTCGCAGCCGTTTATGACAGCAATAGTGTGATTTCCTGTAAAAGAAGAAAATTAAAGATGCATTCATTAAACTGATACCTATTTAGAACAATAATATAACCATTTGCATATGTTTGTACGCTTAACTAACCTTTTGATGACAAAATATCATCCACCTTCTGAAGGATGGTGAAACTCAGAAGTATGAAAGTCATCCTGCTCATACGTGCTCCATCACCACTTAATTTAACTTTTACTGTTTCTCATCCTTTAATGTTCCTTTGCTTATCTGTAATTAAAACTGAGCATCCTTTAATTCTTAGAACTAAATTTATATGCCTGTCTCAATAATTAAAAGCTCACAATGCAGTTTTGATGTTAATATATATCTTTCACATTAAATGACATTATAAGAACATACAACAAATATCATTGAAAAAAAAGATTTTTTTTTATCTATTTTGCTCACTATTGCATGAATATTATAATCTCCAGCCATTAAGTACCTTATTTTTGTGATTATTTTTGTTGTTACACTTTATTTTTTTCTGTTATTAGAAATAAATGTTGGGTCCCTTAGTACACTCATGCTAAATCTACAGGCTAGGGAACCAATGTTATTTGTTTTTATTAAATTAAGGCAAGGAATGGACACGAGTTTCTCAACCTTTCCTTGTATTTGCTTTAGGACAAAATAAATGTTACAACCATAAGATTTCCCAGTAATGAGTTAATGTGTGTCAATTGCTGGATGGCATGAACATTAGTTGAAGCCAGTCTTGTAACGGGTATTTACCATATCTCTTGCTTTGTCCGTGAGTAACTCTTTGAAGGAATACCGAGCTCCAGGTGCCAAACCAGGTGTGGTAGAAATGTTAACTTGCTTATTTAGATCAGATCTACATTGTTTTATTAAATAGGATAACAGGAAAATCAACAACAGCCATTGACAGCTCATGGATAAATTCATCCCCAACTCCAAATTTATCCATTAAAAAGAGTATGCTCTCCACTGTGTTTTTGTTATTGGGATGAAGTTTTTCTTATCTTGATTGTGGGGATGCTGCTCTACCATGTTCTTGCTGTGGATTGGGAGGATTTGTAGTTGAGAAGTCTATAGAAAAACTATCAGTACTATTAGGGTATTTAAGTTTCAAAAGCTGTAAATCCAGGCCAAACATTTCAACAAAATTAAGTGTCTTCTGTGCTCGAGTCTTAAGTTCTTTTAATTTTCTGTATTGTGCTTGTTTTGTTTTGAGGTTTGGAATTTCAGCTCCTCTGTGAATCCCCAAGCTTTCACTCTGTAACCTCAGGGCGTGAAATTAATTTTTTTTTTCTGATAGCCACCTGGCTCCTAAATTCCTCAAAGTGGTAGCCAATTCAAGAAAAGTTGGTCGCCATTTTCAAAGACAAATAAAATCTTTCTTTACGCTGTCAACGTTCTAGATAGACCCTCCAAAATTAAGTTAGGGAAAAGATCTTTAACGTGCTACAAAGTGGACACTAGGATGGATGATATACAACGTTCAGGCTCATCTAAATCCAAGATGGCGTCTAGTTATCGCTCGAGATGCATGTGCTACGTTTTGGAAACAAACTTAACGAGGAAGTTTGCCGCGGATTTATCTTTGCAAATCTTTTTAATTCACTATATCTCTTGGTAAGGTTATGATGAAACGCTCTGGTCGCCTATTTGGCGACTAACTTTCAGGATTTGGTCGCCAAAGTGAAAAATTTAGGCGCATTGCCGCCTGTATTAGGCGCAATTTCACGCCCTGTAACCTGTCAATGTACTTAGTTAGTTGTTGATTTTCATTGTTCAGTTCTCTTGTTCTTTCCTTTTCTCTGGCATAATCTTTTTCAATCTCTGAAAGCATTTCTTCAACCAGTTTCTCCTTCTCTTCCTCATGATTTTCATATTTTGCTCTCCAGTTACAGATTTCTTCTTCTGCTCTTTCAAGCTTTGACTGAATGGCACGCAGATCTGCTTCCTACTTCTCTACCGAGATCAATTCACTTTTCAAAATAGTCAGCCTACACAATTTTTCCTCATGTCCCTTGCTGTTTTTACAATTTCCTTTTCTGTTCAGAGTCTGATTTGTGATTGAAGCAGTAGAAGAGCGCCTTGAAAGTCGGCCTTCAATTCGATCACTTTCTCGACTGATCTTAAACGCATGGCCAGGGATGATTCCATTTAACATGTCAATCTATGCAATGCCTGGCGTTTCTTTTTTCAATTTGTGCCACTGTATCAGTGCGGCATTTTTGAGTCACAACTTCACTGCCACCTTCACGTTGGTTTGTCACATATTTTCACTGAGCTTTTGAATCGGGTAGCAGTCAGACATTTTTTTTTCTTTCTTGTTTTGTTTTGTTTTGTTTCGTTTTTTTCGCGGGAAACCAAAAAAATATTTTTGAAATTCCCACCAAAAAGGCCTGTTGCACCGAGCCTCCAGCCTCGTAATCACCCCCTGTAGTTACCAGTCTTATCTGTCATTAGGCTGTTGGTATTAAAATGGCGATCATTTTTGCACAGCATTTAGTACGAGCAAGAGAGGCTTTCAAGACTGTTTTTTTCGACGCGATCGAAGTAAGATTATTATTCGTGGATGCGTTCGTATTTGCTGAAAGTAGGCCAAAAAAGTCGCAATATTTTCAGGGTTTACAAAGTCCGATTTGCCGTAAATATGGAAGGACATCTTTGAGCTTAAATAATTTGATTGGGATGGATCGATACCAGGAGAGGATTTCGGCTGAATTAAGATGTGCAGAGTGGCATTTCCGAAGGTAGGCGCCATTTTGTGTGCTTTAAAGGGCAATTCTTCGGAATAAAACGGTGCAAGTAATAACTGAGAAAACCGCAACGAGTGTTTGATTAACCAAACCAAAGTAATTCTGTAATGAAAGTACAGATGAGCATCATTCGAACTGGCATTGCGATGGCGGGGTTAAGTCCAAAAGTCGCAGCAAAAGTAGGAGTAAAAGTCGCAATAAAAGTAGCAGAGAAAGCATCAGTAAAAGTAGCAGTAAAAGTAGCAGTGAAAGTACCAGTAAAAGTATTAATTATTAAATATTATTTACTGCTACTTTTACTGCGACTTCAACTGCGACTTTTAGTGCGACTTTTAAAGCTACTTTTACTGCTTCTTTTACTGTTACTTTTACTGCTACTTTTACTGCTTCTTTTACTGTTACTTTTACTGCTACTTTTTCTGCTACTTTTTCTGCTACTTTTACTGCTACTTTTACTGCTACTTTTACTGCTACTTTTACTGCTACTTTTACTGCTACTTTTACTGCTTCTTTTACTGCTACTTTTACTGCCTCTTTTACTACTTCTTTTCTGCGATTTTTACTGCGACTTTTACTCCTTTTTTTACTACTACTTTTACTGCTATTTTTACTGCTACGGCAGTAAAAGTAGCAGTAAAAATCGCAGTAAAAGCAGCAGTAAAAGCAGCAGTAAAAGCAGCGGTAAAAGTAGTAGCAAAAGTAGCAGTAAAAATCGCAGTAAAAGAGGCAGTAAAAGTAGCACTAAAAGTCACACTAAAAGTAGCAGTAAAAGTCGCAGTAGAAGTCGCAGTAAAAGTCGCAGTAACAGTCGTAGTAAAAGTTGCATTAAAAGTCGCACTAAAAGTCGCAGTAAAAGAAGCAGGAAAAAAGATATGTGTCGCTCGTAATTTATGAATATTAACGAGCTTACTTTAACAAGTAGGCCACGTCCGCCACATGTCTCCGCCATGATGCTGGAAAACGACTTGAGCTCGCGATAAGAATAGCCCTCATGCCCTTCGTAAGCCGAAAGTCGCAGTGAAAGTCGCACTAAAAGTAGCAGAAGAAGTCGCAGTAATTGTTGCATGAAAAGTTTCAGTACAAGTCTCACTAAAAGTCGCAGTAAAAGTAGCAGGAAAGTAAAAAATAATGTGTGTTTTCTATGGGGCTTTATAGCCGGTAGAGTCTGGGTACGCGTAACAAAATCATGGTTGTTTACCGTCACCTGGTAACAATGAGTCACCTGACTTCTAAACTTCGGCATGATCGCGGTGTTCTGGAACAAAACAATTAATTGTCTCTAGCGGTTGTTTTCGGGGTTGGAGGTTCGTCATTTTACGAAAAGAGCGACAGTCGCCGTCTACTCAATCAAAAATTAATTATCGAGTTAAAAACGCGAACAACTGTGAGAAAAACATGGCAAGTTCATCCGGATTCCGGGCGGCTTCGGCGGGAAGGTTTCCAGATAAAACATGGCGAGCTGGAACTCCTAGTCTTTATCACGAGAAATGTGCACCTCAAAAGGAAAGAGTTAGGTCTGCTCCTCCAAAAAACTACGCGCAGAGAGATTATGCCATGTGTGATGTCGTTAGGAACGATGAGATTTGGAAGAATCGCTGTCGGAACGAGGGAAAAATGACAAAAAAATGGTAAGAGAATAACACTTCTCTTCTGTTCGTGAGAGCTTGTTTCCGGGTTCGAATGTTCGATTCTTTGTTAAAATCATGAGATAACTCTTTTTTTGCATGGTATTTTGATAATGGTATATGACTACTCTTCGCAGGAGAGTTTGATCACAGTCGATTGCATAGGAAGATGTTGTAAATACGTAATTATTTGTCGTCGTGGAAGCGATTATAGATCGATTGTCAGCTGAGTCATTGTTGGGACACGTCACGTTAGCTGTTCCTGATATTGACTGTTTGCGGTCATCTCAACTTTCTTATCTACCTTGTTTATAGATAACAGAAAGGCTATGCTCAATATCATTTAAGGTCTGAAGGGGTCGAACTTGGAATAGGAGAACCGTTTCCTGGATTCCCAACTGAAATCTTTTAACGAAAATGAGTAGTGTTATTGTAAATGACACCATTTGGAAGAATCGTTGTAGCGAAGAAGTGAAAATTAGGAAAAAGTGGTATGATTTCTGGCATTTCTGTTCATGTGGGCTACTTTTTGTGTTGAGTCAAACACGCGATGGACGGAAACTTTTATGTGATCTTCCGTGACGACCACAAGCTGTACTTCATAAGATCAGAATTTGTGGTTGCTTCTCTTTAATTTTTGCTCTCTATTTTTGTTGTAAAAGGAATCATAGCTTTCCTCTTAAGCAACCCTAAGCAAATTTTCATAGTCCATGAGCAGTTATATATTGGCAGGTGTTTAGTGGAACTCACAATCAATGAAGTCATACTTTATTTATAGTGAAAATTTCTGTATGTTGCTAAGACTTGACTATGAAGAAAACAGGGAACGTTTTTTGTTTGCATGTATGGCTTGATTCCAAGGAAGAATTCACCAAGTATTTTTAATCTCTCTACTTCCAAATTTTCTTCGCACAACCCAACTTAGATTTCTCTTTAGGCACCTGAATGTGAAAACCAAGCAAAGATATGTAAAAATTTCAGGGGTAAACAAAGAAGTGTCATGAGGAAACTGTGGGTTGAAGGAGGCAATTGTGAAATTGAATTTTATCCCAAAATTGGTAATAATAATTTAAGGATATTATGCTTAAATTTTTGTGTGTGTTTTTAGGGAGGAGAATTGGGGATTTCTGAAAGATTATGACCCAAAGGTAAGAAAATGATGAAATGATTAAAAAATTTGTAAAGAAATATTTTATTATCATGAATGTGTGAGCAATACCTCAACCTCTAAAGCCTCAGGAATGAATTTAAGTATAATTTTTTTTTTTAACTGAAATAAGATAATCAAAATCTTCAGCTTTAATAATCATGATAACTTGTTTTCATCAACTGAGCTGATTATGTGAAGTAGGGGTAAGTTTCTAAAGAAACTATGATGCTGCGTCGGTGGGAGAGTATAGCAGGTAATTTAGTGTAAACAACTGAGTTGAAAATGTAAATTAGCCACCAGAAAGGGTGAAAAAAGCTCTGTTGAAGGGCTTATGCTCAAAACATCAGTTTTTTTACCCTTTACAGTGGCTAATTTATGTTTTCAACTCAGTTTTTTACACTAAATTACCTGATTATGTGAAGAGACCACTTCAAAGAGTTTTTAAAGATGAGATTTCAAGTATTAACCCTTTGTCAGAGTGAACAGAGGACGTGGTTCTGTGTTATTTGTGTATACCAAAAGGAGGACTTATATTGATGGTGTAAACAAGGCAACATGAACAACACAAGAATAAACTCATGGAATAAAAGCACTCATTGACACTCATGGACAGTTAATATTTCTCATGTCTTACTTCTGATTTTCCTCAACAAATCGAATTTCAGAAATCTTTTTGGATTCTGCAATTTTATGAATTTCCCACTAACCTTGGAATTCAATTTTCATTACTTTTGTAGGGAAGGCTCAAGGCAAAACGGGAATTACCTGAAAAAGTAAGCGTCTACTCTGACAAAGTTCCAAACACAACAAGTCGTCAATTTGGACACAGAGCCAAGAGTGCACCAGCAAGAACGATGCAAAAATTCGAAAGACTCATTAGCTACAGGACAAAGACAAACAAGGAATTAATGTGTTATGACTGATAGAATCAGTCACTATGACTGGTAGAATCAGTTAAGATATGAGTAGATATCACATTGTGTGAGCAGACAAGTTCAGTAGAGAAAGATTATAATTTGCTTGACAAAATATTGCTGCCGAGTGTTTTTGAGAACATGCTGATAGCCATAAGCATTGTACAGTTTCTAATTAGCATTAAAAATATCAAAATAATATTTTGGCCAACAGTATATGTTGCACATAAATGTATTGTACATTCAGTGTTAATGTTACTAATATTATTACTATAAAGCTGTTAGTAAATATAAAATATACTACTATATATTTTAAAATAGTAGGCACTATGCAATAGTTTTTATGAAATAAAATACATGTATGTTTTGGGAATTGTATTAAAGAAATAAGGCTTTGGTATAGCTGAGGATCCAGAAGAAAAATGACATTAGAAAAGAAGTACTGTAATTTTTGTTGTGAAATAGTGGAGAAATGGTTTGAAAAGAGCAGTTTTTTGTTGTGAAGTAAAAGAGAAATAATACAGACTATGTAATAAATAGAGATATTCATGGGTAGTGGAAGATGTGATTATCAAAGTAAAGAAATCAAACACTGTAACTTTTTGAACGAGTACCAGCAGCACTTATCTTAGCCCTTCACATCATAACATCAGTAAGCATATTTTCCATACTTTTCTCTATAAATTTTCTGAGGTGTAGACAAAGGAAATTTGTTTAACAATCATCAGCTTCTTTAGTTGGTGATCATTTCCTTCAGGGGTGGTATTGTTGGAAGAAATAAGTGCTTATCATGGGGTGAAAGGATTACCCTAAAAGAAAACTGGGTGAGAGGGTGGGGTGGGAATGGGTGTTTTACATAGGGAGCACTTATTAGATTTTTCCTGAGTTATAGCCAGTGAAAAAAATTGGTGATTTTAAGCAATACAGCATTTGCACACACAAAAGAAAAACTGATGTGAACTGTGTATTGATATAAAGAGCAGAACTGTTTTTATTATTATTATTATTTTTATTTTTGGAGTAAAAGAATCTTGAAGTCGGTCTCTAAAATCACGCAAACAAGAGGGTGTGGCGAAAATTGTAAGACCACATGAGGAATTAAACCCCCTTTCAAACCAAGACCTTCAGGGCTATGTCTGCACTCAGCAGGATAAATTTGGAAACGGCATTTTCACTTTAAAAATAAACTTTCTTCGTTTAAACTGTAGGAATGCAGAGAAAAAGTCAACAAAAACAACGAACTGCGACTTGACATCAATCATAAACTCGAAATTCATGCATGCATTGCAGGCCTACACCTACTCACAACCAACAGCAATGTGGGTAATGTACTTACAGCGCACTACCCACGTAAGCCATCTGTCTCTACTATACAACGATCTCCTACGACGGGAGAGCCATTTTCGTCCGCAGCGTCCTCCTTCTTATTGGTCATGTGGTCAAAGAAACGGTTGCGTAACTGTGATTGGAAACGAGTGGCTCTGGGAACGATCATGATTTATCAAGGCGTGGCATGCGCAGACTATCCCACGAAACAACACTGACATCAGTGTTCAGAGGGAGGGGTGATCGAGGCTAAAAAAACGGCGTAAAGCGAAGTTTAAGTATTTGTGCCAAGAGAAAATAACGTCCCATTAATTACTGTTGCTTAACAATAATTTAAGTTTGAGGTTGTTCTTGTAGGGGATCGTCGCAGAGGGGCTGTTTCTCCCCCTATGTTAAGTGCAGCATCATCAAAATCCAATAAGAACATTTCTGTCTCGTTGTGACCCAAGGAACAGCCATGAATCCGCAAACTCCTGTCATCTTTGAAGGAGGTCTTCGCAGTCGAGAGAGCCAAGCCCTCTTCAATTTTTCTTTTTTGACATGGAACACAATAAAATGGATTCAGAGAGTTGTGGAAATCTCTATGATGGGCTGCTTGATAATAAACCGATTGAAAGCGGTGCGGGCATTTCCGGTTCTCGTAACAAGGAAGTGGGTAAACACTGTAGAAGTGATCTAAATATTCCTCTCTCGATTTGAAGTAACTCCCGCATGAGCAATTGCATTTCTTGTGCGAGTTTCGCATATGTATTTCCAACTGGTCCTTCGTTAAAAACTGCTTCCGAGGGCAAAACTGACATGAAATTCGCAATGGCAAGGATGGACCTTTTTCTTGCTCTGTAAAGAAACCTGCTTTCGCTTCCATCGGTGGATAACTGTGGGGATTGATATTGTGTTCATGTTTCATGTGCGCTTTCTTCAAATCATCCGAACAAAACAACTCTTGGCAGTGTATGCATTTCGTTTGTGAGGCCTTGTGCTTCAAAAGTACTTCTTCAGATGGAAATCTTTGACGGTAGCCATAGCACAACGGGTTTTGACAGAAGAAGTTGTGTTGTTCAAAGTTATGTTTGTCTGTCTCTTCTGTGCAGGCAAACACGAGGCGACAAAATCTGCACGAATCCTTCACAACTTCAAAAATATCCATTTCCAGACCATTGATCTCTTGAATGTCCAATTTTCCATTAAACAACTTCAAATTCGCAATAAGTTCCTCATACTGTCTCTCTCGCTCTGCGACCAAGAAAACTCGTCTCAGCGACGTATCTTGGTTGTCGCCTGACTCCTCAACGAGATCACCATATTTCTCAAGAAGGCACGCAATAAGCCCCGTATCAGATGCGTATGGGGATGTAGTGAGCGTGAAATGAGTTGTGATCCAGTCTGGATCTGATGGCGGAAGGGCTTTCACTGGAGTATCATTCCGCAGGAAAACGTGAACGCTTAATCGCGACTTTGCGTCTGGGGAAGTAAATTTGATGTCTTCGATGAAGTTGCGGCAGCTGCCTTCCCACACCAAATAGAATTCATCGTAATGTCTTCCCGCGAACATCTCTATTGACTCTTAGTTGATGGCCCGTCGATCTCACACGTACGTCTTCAAAGCAGCAGTGCTTTAAACGTTCTCGCCAATAACTGACTGAAGGATGGTCAAAAAAATACTATATTGTATTTCCATCCGACTGAAACAGTTCCCGACACGCAGGTGAACAAACGGGCTGACAAACATTATTATCATAAGCGGCTTCAATTCGACGTGAAAACAAAAAGAACGATGACATCTTTGAGTCGTCTTCGTATGAAAAGGGAAGTTTGGCAAGAAATACAAACAGCAAGTCTTGACCAGACGTCTCTAAGACAAAAGAGTTCGTGCTTTCTATATATTTAGGTCAGTGAGAACTCTGAACACCGCGATTAATAATTAGAATTACAAAGGCCGGTGAAGAACACGAAATTGCAGTGTTGAAAGGTTGTTGATTGAGTTGCAATATTGGTCCAGCTTTCAGTCAGTTATAATCCTCTTTCATCCCGGCTAAGAATCATTGTGAAGTGGTACAATTAACAACTAATTGTAAAATGGCAGTCTAATCACGTGAGAACAAAAGAGTGTATCTTTGACCATTAGAAAGCGGTACTTTTCTTAATGAAAATACTTTTTGACAAAAATTAAGCCATGTTTGCGTATCAGTCATCTATCGGTCTGTTTGAAGAGAGACCGACCAACCGCTGTATCAACAAAAACAAACTCTCTTAATTGAAACTCTGGATGAATTAGAAGTCAAAATTGACAGTGTATATTTCAATCAAAGAGGACTTGTGGTATCAGTTTTTACTCAATAAGCCAAAAATATTATCTTCGACTCTTTTCTTTATTTTTAGAATGTTTCTCATGGTTTTGCTTGGATGATTATGGCTTAAGGGGCGTGAAACTCGACGGAAAATATTATCGTGGTTAATCCAACTTAATTCGACCAAGTCACGAAACGGAGAAGGATTCTTCGAAGTTCCAAACTACCTCCTCCATGAAAATAATTTGGGACAGAGACAGAAAGATCCGGTTACCATGCATCTGGAGTTATGTTTATATATATTATTTACCTTTTTTTAGTATTTCTATTTATTTAATATTTATAAACATTTCTGGACTGGTGATTTTTCTGCGTTTTGCGCAATTTTTTTCGCGGCTCGAGGTCACCGTAATTTCTGCCGGTAACTTACCTTCGCGACTTTTTTAAAGGCATCAGTTCGTTGACTGATTTGAGAAAACGCGAAAAAAAAATTTGAGCATAGGCTGCTTATTAGATTTTTTTATTGAATCGTATCTGTGAATCTCTGAGAGCGATGCCTTCAGTTGAGGAAATAAAAAGATTGGAAAAAAAAATAGTGTCAGTTAAGCCCACTCACGAATAATACTTCCCGGGAGTTTTTTTCCTTTTCATCGAACTGAAGGTTGTAAGTTTTATCCCGCCGAGTTTTGATGATCTTCTGTACAATAAAACAATGTCAAAAACGTCAAATACTTGTAAAAATACTTAACTGCTGGTATAACGTGACGTTTCGTCTCGGTCCAGAGGTTCATCAGTAACCTTTCAAAATTAAATGTCCGCGCAAACTTACTGACCATCGAAAGTTAGCGAATTACTTACAACCACCTAGAGGGTGTTCTCTTGATCACAAGAGATTTATTCTTCCCTGCTTGATACAGCATGAAATTCTCCCGAATAATTTCCAAAAAAATGTATGACAGGCAGAAGAGAGAACTGCTAATCATATAATGAAAATTAGGAGGTTTCATAACCCCCAATTGACCTCCTCTGTGTAGTTATATATCCTGAAGTGGTTTAGGCCTGCTTATCAAGGTTTTTCTCGTGACTCCAGTTAAGGGTTGTTCGAAGCTTGGCCTATGCTGATTGTTCCTTATTCCAAGTCCAATGTCGATATTTGGGTTTCCAATCCAGCTTTGTGGTCAGTTCATTCGAATTTCTTCTGCTTTCTTCGAATTCTGCTTTCGATACAGGAAGGAAATGTGTTGTATTGCATCATACGGCGGCAGAATGAGCACAGTAGTTCTCGCGCTCAGCAGACACAAACATGTTTGATAATTAGGATAATTTTGAATGGGCAAGAGCAGGTAATATTCTTTGGTACCACGTAATTGACTGCATAAATTTGCCTTCACTTAGTTGTATCGTCATCCCTCATGGGCAACGTTTTCTTTACTTCCGCCTAGACTACAACTATCTGCAGACTTGTTAGGCGACTGACCGTTTACACGTGATGGTTCAGCCGAATATTCAGACAAATTGTTTTTTAGTTTATCAGCTGCGCTCTTACGGCTACTATCAACGTGTAGGTGACCACGATTATTTCCCAACTCTCCCTTCGTCTGTCTTTCACCAGCGGAAGGTGACGAAGTAATTGAAGAGGGCGAAGGATAAACAGCGAAAAAATGATCCAGATATGACAATCGCTCGCCATAATATTTCCCACAAGGACAGGGACACTTTTTGTGCGAGCTTCGCTTATGAAGTTCTAGCACATCCGAGGAGCAGAACACCTTTGTGGGGCAAAATGTGCATCGAAGTTGATTTTTTATGTGTTCCTTTAACTCGGTTTCTCCGCGAAAAGAGTTTTCCTTTGCGTTAAATTTGCATTCCTGGTTCGGGCAAACAAATCCATGGCTCTCTCTGTCGTGAATATCCAGCTCCCTCTTTTCAGTAAAAGCAATCCTACAGTAGGGACATTTAAATTGTAGAAAATCTAGTAATGTTGTTGTTGTGGTAAATTCCACGCATTCCAGCTTGACTTGTTGCATTTGATCAACAGTTTCAGCCAGTTTTTTACATCTTTCTGTCGATTTTGAGATCACGTAGTACGCTTGAGTGGGAACAGATTTACCAACAAATGCATCAGAACCACCCCGACTACCCAGACTTGCTGAGGTTTTTGCGGTTCCCGGCCTCCTTTTTTCATGAGGTGTCGACAACGAATAGTTTGCTCCGAAGTTAAATCTCTTTACGTAAGACTCCAACAAATCCCAAGCGGAACTTTCCTGTTCTGAAGCTGCAGGATGCTTAAAAAGCCAGGGCTTGTACTTTGGAAGAAATTTCGTCGAAATTTCTTGCCTATAGAAGATGTGTAACACAATGACGCCTCGTAGCGATGGCGACAAAGTGATTCCCTTGATAAAACTGACGAAGTCTGTATCCCATTCGACGAAGAAGACAATCCTTCGATTAGAATTCATGGTGAAGGCCTCGCAATACTTCTGTCTCTAAATTTCTATGATATTCAGTAATGTTAGCATGCCGAAAATATTTGCCTCTTCGGTTGAATTCGACGTATAATATTTCCAACGAAGACAACACTTGCAGCAGCCCACGAAGTTAAACAATAATAAATAATACTTCTTCAAAATTTCCTCACGTCTTCTTTACTTATTCTTATACATAGCAAAGGACACTAAACACTATCCACGAAACTGTTCCAGAAGGCTAAATAAGCTCCAAATGCGTAGAGTTTTGATAAGATGAATAATTTCCTGCGATTGTTTGCTCACCGTATCGTAAAATATGTTTGTAAGGCCCCATAGCAGGTGTTAGATCTTTCTTAAAGTGTTTCATGTCGCATGGTAACCGATGCTATATCTCACTTAATTTGCATTGAATGAGACCTGAATATTTCATTAACGAAAATACTGTCGGGTTAACTGAAGTTCGAAATTTTCTCTGAAATATTTATCATGCACATAAATTTCACAAATTGAGTTTGGTTTCTATTTCACAATTGGTTACAGTTTATTGACCCAGTCAGGGGCACTCATCAATCTGTTTTTTTCTGTTTGTTTTGGAAACGTAAACAAATAGGCTGACAGCGTTTTATTAAATTTCTGATAACTAGCGTAGATAACGCTTCTGTATGCACCTTGTAACTTCGGAATAATGAAGAATTAAATATGACAAATTACGACCGCACAAATTCCCCTATCCTGTTTCCACCTGTGAATCTCCTCTCTCTCTTTCTCTCGTTTGAACGTTCTATAGGTTTTTTTTCTACAAAAAAAAAGAAAATTATTTCGTTTTGTGACGACAACGACAACGACAACAAAGACGGATGAAGCGTCGGAGGCGACGTTAACGATGAGGACGATGACGTAGACGATACCGTCGACGATGATGACGACACACGCACGCTTACAAAGCTCAAAAACTAATGATGAAAAGTAAAGGAATAAAAAAATGAAAAACCAAAAGAAACAGGGGCGGATACAATTTTTATTTATACTAGCGAGGCAACAATGCACTATTTATGCGATTCGATCAACGTTATGACAAAGGACGAACGCTCAAAACGTCGACTTTAGAAACTCTTTAGGGTGGTCATTTACTTTACCAACTCAGTTGATGAAACCAAATTATCTTGTAAAACTCCCCCCTCCCCTCCCTTCCAGCTTCCCCCCCCTCCCCCACAGACGCATCACCCAGTATCTTTAGAAACCTACCCCTTTTAAGTCTTTATTTTATTTACAAGACTCCAGAAAGAAGTATGATACTTGACAGTAAAAGGGAGATTTATCAAAGCATAATTCCTAATGCTGAATGCAATTTTATCCATTGGCTAGCCTGGATTTCTAAATTTCGAGTTAAACAAAATAAATTCCACATACCCATTCCTTAGGTTTTACCATCTAATCTCTGTGTTGAATTTGTGATAAATTGCTTTGAGAACATTTCTTGGTGTCTCTTAGCTTTCTACTGGTGAAGAAATCAAGTGAAAATGAATTCGTAGCAGAGAGAGAATCGCGTCCTGTCAAATTTCATGTAGTTTATACTTAGTTGACACTTTCGCCAAAGCTTAGCACGGTATGCGGGCCTAGATAGCTAGATTGGCCGTCAATAGATTGGGTACGAAAAACACGTAAAACACTAAAAATGGCGGCAGAACTTGAAGATGCTCGTGATCACCTCTCTCAAAACTCTAGAGCATCTGTTCGTTTCACGAGACAAGCTGGATTGGAAAGGAGAAGGCCTTCGTAAGTTCATCAGCGTTACTTATATTGTAATAATCTAAGTTGACGCTCTGAATCGTGGTATAAATGGGAAAAACGCGAAAAAAGCTTGATCGATTCGAAGATGTAAGAGAAGTCGATTTTAGTTAACTCTCTCTCTAGCAAATCATTTAAACTGTGGTGTTATCTTTGTCTAGAAAGCGTCAAACTACATTAAGAAGCTTCAAGATTAATACAAACTGGAGAGATCGGTCAACGCAAGTCGCCACCACTACAACTGCCATTTCAAGACAGGTGAGCAAAATGTATAATTATCATCAACATTTGTATCGTCTTCACTTTATGGATCAATTGGTCTCCAACTAGCATTGACGAAGGGCCAACGCTCGAAACGTCGGCTTTGAAACTATTAACGGTGGCTAATTTACGTTATCAACTCAGTTGATAATACCAAATTACCTTGTTATTGCCTCCCACCAACACGGCCAGTACAGTGTCATTTTTTACCTTAAGATCCAGTCTCTTAATCCTGTAACCCTAAGAGTGCCCAGCATCTAATTTCTCCTTACAGAAATACTTCCGAATCATTCACTAGGAACGTGAGAAAAAAAGGAGATGATTGGTAACCTAAGAAGCTTTGATTGTTCAACAAATTCTCCCTGCCAGTACTAAAGGGACATGTAAAGGGAACAGTATGGAGAATATAGATTCTAATGTACTGGGGTAATAATTGCCTTATAGCATCCTTTGCTTCTGTTTTTCAAAAGGGATTGCCAGATGCACTTCCAAGTGGGCGAGAACTATCTCCAGTGCCACCAACACCAGATCAAGGCCCTCCAAACAACTCAAGAGATTCATTGAGATCTCCTTTGATAGAAAGTCTGGTGGCCTCAAAATCAAATGTTACCCACCATCTTGAGGTTCTACAGGATAGTTCTCCCGTTATCCCACGTCAAAGCAGTGTTGTAACAGACCATGAGCAGCTGTTATTAGTTTCTCACTCTAGAACACCTGATGGAAGTCCAAGTTCAATTATATTGTACAGTTCAGAGGACGAAACTAAAACAGGTTTTTGTACCATTAATTATCTATGAATAAATTACCACAACTACCAGCTTTCTGTTTCCATCCAGTTTAAATTTTTATTTATGAACTTGTCTCTTTTTTTTCTTTTTTTTTAAATTCTTGTCTGTCAGCTATTTGCTGATCAGAAAACAAAGTGACAAAATTCTTGCTTTTATTTCTATCAACAGATCAAGGAAGCATGGTTAGAACTCCAAATCAATCTCCACAAAAGGTACAAGTAGGCCAATTCAACCCTTTAACTCCCAAGATACTTAATAATAAATAATAATTAATAATTCTCCTTACTGACTGCCATACTTTTTCTTGTAAGTTATACAGAAGAATTTAGTCTTATTTCAAAACAACACCCTCTAACTGATAAGTTTGTCTGTTCTCGTAACCTGTTTACAAGATTATCAGTTGGAATTGCAAGGAGAAGTTGCATGTTAATCTTTTCTGAGAATTATATGATTGACATAAGTCAGCTACTTATGGATATAATTAAGCTATTTAATTTCCATGATATTACTCACAGTCTTGTAGATTATCAACAAAAAGTTTTCATTTTTTTTCATTTGCAGTTGTTATCAGACAAGACTCCTGTTTCAGGTCCTGTTGCATTTAAGACAAGAAATAGCAGAAAGAGAAAAGGAAAAGTAGCTGAACCAACAGGAGATGAGGAGATGGAATCCTTAGAAAATGAATACAGAAGTGAGAAGAAAAATCTCTCCAATTAATAATATTAATAATAACAATAATAATAATAATATTGACACATTTTTTGGGACACTCACTGTCTCAAATTTAGAAGAAAATGTCATAAGGCATACTAAACTCCAGATTAAATGAAGATCTTAGTTAATTAAAAGAATCTTCAACTTATATTTACTTATGCTAAAGTACTAGTCTGTTTGTACCTAAAACTCATGCAATTGTGGTTGTATGCTTCCTCTTACTAGAGCGGCTGATTTAATCTGCTGTAAATATTAAAATTTATCACCAATAATTATTATTGTTTGTTTCTTTTAGAAAATAACTTTGTGAGATTGTTTAATGCTGATCATGGAAGAAAAAAGAGAATGTCAGAGATAACAGATCTTGATGTTATTCTTACTGCTGTTGAGGAAGAAGCCTTGGAAATCAGGTGCTGAAATTAGAATTCTAGTCACTCTTAAGGGGTCAAAGGGTTATTAACCCTTTACACTCTAACATCAGTATGCATATTCTCCATACTGTTCTTTATACATTTCCTAAGGTGCTGACAAGGAGAATTTATTTAATGATCAAGAGCTTCAATTAGTTGGTGATGATTTCCTTGATTCTCTTGACCCTAACCCTTTAAGTTCCACTAGTGACCAAGACAGAATTTCTCCTTACAATATCAGTACAATATCAAGCAGACAGGTGGCGAGAATAAAGATAAATATCAATTAGGGGATTATTAGTTGATCCAATTTCAAATTCTCCAAAGTAACAACACATAAATTGTGTGGCAGACAGTGAGGAGAATTACTAATGAAATCTTGGGAGTTAAAGGGTTAATGTATGCTTCAGGGGTGATATTGTAAAGAAAAATTAGATGCTAGTCAGTACTAAGAGTCAAAGGGTTATTAAAGAATTTCCATGATGTATATATTTTGATAGGAACGATATTGAGACAACAGCTGGGAAGCAAGCCATAAAAGAACTCTTCATACAAATGAGAAAAACATTCAGTGAAACTGTAAGTTACACTTCAAGTATTTGGTACCATAAAAATTAAGGTTGCTTGGTTATGCAGTTAATTTAGTGTTGACAACTGAGTTGAAAACATAAATTGGCCACCATAAAGGGTAAAAAAAGCTGACATTTCGAGCATTAGCCCTTCGTCAGAGTGACAAAGGGCTAATGCTCAAAACATCAGTTTCTTTTACCCTTTATGGTTGTTAAAACTTAATGACCTATAATACTCTCCCACCAACACAGCACCACAGTTTCTTTAGAAACTTACCCCCTTTATTGCTTGATTATGGTTGAACTTGTCTAGAACAGTGTGTAGTTATTATTCATAGCCATGTGCAATGCTTTTTTAGTGGTTTTAATATTTTCTTTCTTTAAGATTTTCAGTTTTTTATGTAATAACTTTTAACCCTTTACACCCTAACATCAGTATGCATATTCTCCATACTGTTCTCAATAAATTTCCTAAGGGGCTGACAAGGAGAATTTGTATTACAATCAAGGGCTTCTTAAGTTGGTGATCATTTCCATTATTCTCAAGATCTTAAATGAATAATTTGGAAGTGTTATTGTCAGGAGAAACTAGATGCTGGTCACTCTTAGGGTTTTAAGGGTTAGATAACTATTGACAGAGGTTCACCAAGCCTGTATCTGCAGTACAAACTTGTGGTGGATTGGTATCCCATCCAGGGGGAAGTGGTAACACTCCCAGTTGCTCATGCTACAGCTGGAAGGACTATTTGGCTTGAGTACGGGGTAAATAAAACTCAGGTCAAAATTCATTAAATTAAACTAGTTTAATATCATTTCTTTGTTGTCCAATGCACATCATGATGACCCCCAAATGAAGTTAAATTAAAAATAAAACTACTTTGAAATCATACTTTATTACAAATATATCATATTAGATATTTTCAATAATTGTATTCCAGAGTATTTTGACATGTTGTGCTGTAAGTTGAGGCTCTATATTTAAACTCACACTACAAATAAGTGTTCAGTTATTTACAATTTTGCAAAAAATACTCAGTTACAGTACATAATTATGAAACCATGTATGGTAAGATTATCTTGTTATTTTGCAGATTGATATTCACAGAGAAAACCAAATGTTAAAGGCCAACCTGAGAAAGGTTTAACTGTTAAGTTTAATTTCAATTTTAGTATTCTGAGGAAACCTAGTACTTCAAGGGTCTTTACTCAAGGTGGAAAAACTAGCCATCTCCAATCTCATAAAAGATAATGATGGTGATAATGATGATGATCATAATTATAATATAGTGACTATTGTTCATCATAGGTGTTACCATTATAATAAAATTCTCAATGATCAATCCTTTCCACCCTAACATCAGTAAAGATATTCTCTATACTGTTCCCGATACATTCACTAAGGTGCTGACTAGGAGAATTTATGTGAAAGTCAACAGCTTCTTCAGCTGCTGATAATTTTCTTTATTCTCATGACCTTGCTGCATGATTCAGGGATGATGTTGTATGGAGAACTGAGATGCTGGTCACTCTTAGGAGTAAAAGGGTTAAAAGATATTTTCTTTTGTTTCAAGTTTTGCATGCTTCAGAATAGTTCTCAATGTTTTTTAGTTCACCCTTTGACATAAATGATCTGATTTTTTTTAACATTTTCTGCCTGATAAGTTTGGGTATTCTCATTACCTGTTTGCAGGATATTATGTATGGATATTACAGGGAGAAGTTCATTCAATCACTTCTGGGAGTTACAGGGTTAACACTGAAATGGCTACTGTTTGGTGCACTTAATTGATCAGTTGATTATCATGAATTTTAAATTGATAATTTGATGTACTACTTTCTCATTCAAATGTTATCTTACAGGCAAAATCCAAAGTTAACAAATTACGCAAGGATCTCTTAAGTGTGCAGCAAAAAAGATCAAGGTATGCACTTTTAATTTAAATCTACTAACACATCAATTCTTCACTGCATGAGAACTTAACCCTTTACACCCCAACACCAAAATGCATATTCTCCATACTGTTTTATATAAATTTTCTATGAGACTGGTAAGGAGAATACCTCTAACAATCAACTGCTTCTTTGGTAAATGATCATTTCCTGTATTTCCTTGACCCTCAGTTGATGTTTGATTCAGCAGTGACACTGTAAGGAAAAATAAGATGATAAAGAAATAATTTTTGTGAAAAGTTCAGAAGCCAGGATCATGAATATGAGGAATACCCCCAAGGTGTCTCAAACCCAAGATCTCTTTGTCTCATTCGCAGGATCTTGTTGAAAATTGAACAAGAGGAAAAGAAAGTGCAACAAAATCAAGAGAGACAGAAGGTGATTAAATGTAAAGGAGAACAAAAATATTATCAAAAAGAGAGATTTTTGAAACATGTACAATGTAATTTGCGTGTCACAAAATTTAGAAACAATCAGTCTAGCATGGGGAATTAAATGTTCATTAATCCTTTGCACCCTAACATCAACATGAATATTCTCTATACTGCTCTCTGTCCATTTCCTGTGGTACTAACAAAGAGAGTTTGTTTACCGATTAAGAGCCTCTTAAGTTAGTGATCGTTCCCTTTATTCTTGTGAACTTAATGTTTGATTTAAGGGTCATATTGTAGGGAGAAACTGAATACTGATCACTCTGAGGGGTTAAAGGGTTGATGATGGATAATACTTATATATTAAGAAAGTGGTTTTATGAAAACAGGGTAACTTTTGTTTGCATGCTAGAAATTCCTAACAGTAACTTTGGAACCACCCAGAGTGTTAACATTTGTTGCTGAAGTTTAAAAATCCATTTACTACTTGTTAACTTTTTAACTTTTGTACCTTTTTAGATAACACCATAAAAGTGATATCCTTTAATTTCTTCAGGCCCTGGAAGATTTTAGCTCTTTTCTTGTCAACCTTGAGGCATTACAAAATGAGTGCAGAAAAGAAATGTCCTCAAAGAAGGCATCAACACAAGTGAGTGAACTCTCATCATTTCCCTTAAATGAAAATGAACTGGAGAGAACCTCGTACTGAAAAATGATTCGATAGTTTCATCAACAATTTTAAATAAACAAGTTAACTGTGATCAATCCACCAACCTTTAGTGTAATTTTACCGGGAACAAGTCCATTTTTCAGAATTCGTATCATTAGAGGCCAAGACATTGAGTTTCAATGTAAATTTGGAGTTTTCATTTAAAATTCTTTAGTTAAATGAAATTTGTTTTTAATTTCTGTTTCAGGACTATGGGTCATGTGACAACCTTCCAAGTCTGCTTATTGAAGGGCACAGTTCATTAACAGCTGCTACTCAGCTTAGATCTATCAATGAGCTTTTGAAGCAAAGACAATGATAAGTGTCTATTAATTTGATTATAAGACAAATATTTGTGCAAATAAACATGAAGGAAAAAAATTTTAAGACAAGGTTTTAAAATATGTCTGATTACTGAGTCAAACCTAAATATGTTCAGTAACCATAATTATGCCATGCTACTTATTCTTTGAACCAAAAAAATGTAAATAGAGTTAAAAAAAAAGAAAAGAAGAAGCTGACCAAAAGTGGTCTGTCTTCCCCAGTAAAGTCTGTCAGTTATAAAGTCAAAAGAAATAAGCAAAAAATGATGAGTTAGCACCATTTGAACTCTGGGAGCCCCTCACAGATTCCATGCTGCTCCAATGTATCTTTTACTAATTTCTACTGACTTGCATGATGGACTTTGCTGGAGGTATTTGTTGAAAGAAAAAAACTTGAACATTTCTCCATCACCCATCAAATATTTTATAATATTGAATTCTTGTACAGCACGATTGCTATATTGTATGTGACCATCAAATTGCATGAAAATAAGATTGGTGTTTAGAGACAAACATAAATCATACTGTTATAAATATTCCAATGAATGCCAGTAGTTCTTTACTAGGAAGACTGATTATCAAGTGACTTCTTTCTGTCCTCTGCAATAGATAAATTTTCTTTGGATCAGATCAAATAAATACTAAAATTATTCTTCTGAATGGCTCACAGGCACATTGCATAAATTTACTTTAACTTAATTTTAAAGCAATGAACCACTTTAACCCCTTCACTCCCAAAGGTGATGAACATGTAACTTCTCTCTGTGATATTCATACATTATCCAGAAAACAGGTTATGAGAATACTCAAACTTATCAGGTATAGTTTGTTATCTTGATCTAATACCAAATTCTTGTAACTGATTTACAAGTGAATGTATAGCAGCTGGAGGGGAGGGTTAACAGCTAGATCTGGGAAGTTATAGGGTTATATGCTCTATTTCTGAATGGTTCAGTGGCACACTGTAATATTTAATATCACCTGAAAAGTTAAAGCAAAAAAAAAAAAAAACACGTTGGAATCAAGTATCAAAAATCATTAATATACTAGGGACTTTATTCTTGAAAATTATTTATTACACCTTGCCTTAATTACCTGTCTTCATCTTATTCCTTTGTTCTCCCTGATCCTGTTGATTCCTGGCAGAATATACATATTAATTATGTCTGAGTTTTAAACAACAATAAAAATTTTTTGTCTAGCAAGTGGGTCCACGTACAACAACAAAAACAACAAATCTTTTTCTGGAGTAGACTTAATTTTTCCAAGTCTGCGCATAAGAAAGATTTACAGTCTGCTTGCTTGTGGTAGTAACTTTTCTTTTTCGCTTTTGTCTCTCAACTCTTTTTAATCGAAGTTTCTCTCATTAACCTTTCAATCTTGGTTAAAAAAAACTCACCTGATTCTTTGTTCGAAACAGACGCCACGCGCACCTGAGAAGGACGCAGTCCCAAATATGGTAGGAAACTTTAGTGGCTTCTTGTCTGTGATTGGTTACTTAGCGGCTTGACAGACAACGCCAAGCTAACACACACTTCACTCATCCCCCTTGCAACTTGTGTGTGTTTCTTGGATCCAACATGTCGGGCCGCGGTGGGAAACAAGCTAAGAGGGCGAAAGCAAAATCTAGGTCAGCCAAGGCAGGCCTACAGTTTCCTGTGAGCCGAGTTCACCGTTACTTGCGCCAGACGACTCATCATTTCCGCATCGCGTCGGGTGCGCCAGTTTACCAAGCAGCTGTAATGGAATACTTGACTGCTGAGATCTTAGAACTCGCAGGAAACGCGGCGCGTGATAATAAGAAAACTAGAATAATTCCGCGGCATATTTTGCTGGCCGTGGCCAACGATGAAGAACTGCATCAGGTTAGTGTTCAAATTAAATTTTTTTTGGTTTGATATGTAGCACTACATCGTATGTTCTATTGTTAGTGGAGGTATAACTTTTTGATGCTATCGGTGCACGGTTCGTACCCATACCTGCGTTTCTTTGTGACATTCGAACAGATGATCTCTCGAAGGCGAGCGGTTTTAAAATTCGTTGTTCCTTATGGAAGCTTGGTATCTTACTATGTCTAGCATTCAAAGGAAATCTTATAAACACGGTCGCAAGTGTGCAAAAGTAACGATTTATACTTTAGTGTGAAGGGACCAAGTTTTACTAAAGCTTGATCAGCACATGAAATCATAAACACAGCCTGCCAACCGAACAGCTGTGAAACCGCGTTGTTGAGCAGTCGCGTTCACTTTCTATGCCCGTGTTAATTTGATCGCTTGAAAGAAAAGTCATACCTTTTTATGCGCTGTAGTTATTTCGCCTCGTTTCACTTTCGTTTGATCCTAAACAAATCTTACTTCTATACAGTACCGCTTCACGCGTGTTTATTGACTGGTGCCTTATTCATAGACACATCACTTTCCATATTATAGCAAGAAAGGAGAGTTTGTGAGTGTTATTTCCCATCCTTCGAGAACTTCTTTGTGATTTTGATACCAAGTATTCACAGGTATTCAATGATTACTCATGAGAAATTTGTTCTTCCACGAATTTGTGTGACCTCGTACAAGTTAGAAATTCACGTCGGTATTGGTCTGCGGGCTAAGGATCGCTTCCGGTGGACTGATCGTGGTACATATACGAAGGAACTAGTAAACTTGAATGTGAACAAATTAATTTTTTTTCCTCTTGCTATTTTGGAAAACTGAAAGGTCACCAAAAAATCTTGTGAATGCTGAAGCCGCCTTTAGGAGAATTTCTGAGAGCTTATACATTCAGGATTGTCATTCATTTCTTGGCTTTCGAACATGCAACTGCTCAGTTTATAGCGGAGCTCACAGAGTGTAGCCCCATCATTTTACAAAATAGTAGTAACCCATCAAGCTGAAAAAATTTGCATGTACGACCATACAACCATACAACCATACAAGGTGCTACTTTTAACATGCGTGGTCAACTGTACTGCGGGTACACCAATGCCACAGCCTTGTCCAGTAGTCCAGTGGTCAGTGCACTGGGCTCTGAGTCAGATGACCCGGGTTCTAGTCCTGGCAGGGTTAAGGCGTTGTGTCCTTGAGACATGCAAAAAAAAAAATGCGAGCTCTGCTTTTAGGCTTGGCTAAATCCTTATATTATTGAGTATTGAAACAAATGGTGATTGAAATGTCTATACCCAATTCACAAACACTCTAATAAAGACCTGCTTCCTGAGTCCCTTCAGCAACTACTAGTGCAATGGTGTATTTGATGTATTGGGTCAATGTCAACATTTGAACATCTGTGCCAATACCCCTAACTTGTTAATATATAGATTTAGCCAAACCTAAAAGCGAAGCTTGCATTTTTTTTCCCACACGTCTCAAGGGCGCAATGCCTTGCCTCGGCCAGGACTAGAACCCAGGTCGTCCGACTAGGAGCCCAGTGCTCTGACCACTGGACTACTGGACAAAGCCGTGGTGTTGGCGTGCCCACGGTACAGTTGTTCACGCACGTTAAAAGTAGCACCTTGTACAGTCATACATCCAAATTTTTTCAGCTTGATGGGTTACTACTATTTTCTATAATTATGGGGGCTATGCTCTGTGAGCTCTGCTATCAGTTGACTGTTATTGGGTCAGGGGAGGAGTAGGTGTGCAGTTCTTTAGATAATGATTTTGATCTGATATATCCTTAAAGGGACCTTGAATTCTAGAGTTAACCCCCAAGAGTAACAAGCATCTAATTTCTCCTTACAATATCTCCCCTGAATTAAACATTTATACCATGAGAGTAAAGGAAATGGTCACCAACTAAAGAAACTCTGGATTGTTAGACTAACTCTCCTTGTCAGCACCATAGTAAATCTACAGAGAACAGTATGGAGAATATGAATTCTGATGCAAGGGTGTAAAGGGTTGATATGTCTTGTTGATTAACCAAACTGAAAAGCTTTGTTATATTTGTTGTTTACCAAAGTGAGGTGTATCTTAATTTTACCAGTTGTTGAAAGGTGTGACAATTGCATCTGGAGGAGTCCTCCCTAATATTCACCCGGAACTTTTGAAGAAAAGAAAAGGTGGGAAACTCGTACCACCAGATGAAATAAAACCAAAGCATCCAAAGACAATATCAGCACCCAAACCATCCACATCAGGGAAGAAAATGGCTAGTCCAGCAAAGAAAGCACCCTCGCCTGCCAAGAAAGCACCTATTTCTCCTGCTAAAGGGAAAAAGAAAGGGGTAAGTCAAGGTATCTTTCATCTTTATGGCAGGATTTTCCATAAGAGGCTGATAAGGTGGGAATAGTCCAGTAGTAGGCATGGAGATGAGCACTCTTAGCTTGTTGATGTAGGGATTTCAATATCTTTTTCCATTGTGGCTGCTGATCATTGGTGTAACAGGCAGCTGTACCTATAGAAGGAGTTATCGAGGAAACCCAAACATTAGAGCATTCTCAAAGGCTAAACAGTGAGCAGTTAGATTTCCACAGGCAGCGATAGATGTGCAGCCAGTGAGTGGCTTTTAGTGAAGCCCCTGTGATAGCATGAGTCCCTAATTTAGCCTCTCAAAATTTAAGCCTCTTGAAATACATTCTCTGCACTTTGGAGTAAGAATTGTATTTATGCAATGGAGGGCTTCTCACCATATGGCATAGTATGTCTGAATGATCAAAGAATAGAGAAACAGGAAGTATTGCTAAAATTACTCAGAATTTAGGCAACAATATTTAGTTTTGGCGTTTTTGTTTAACAATCAAGAGCTTTTTGAGTTCACAACCATTTCTTTTATTGTCATTACCTTGGATTTAGGAGTGATACTGTTGGGAGAAACTAGATGATGATCATTGAAGTAGTGTTCCAGTTTGTGTTCTTTCATCCTGAACATCTTTACGTCTCTTAGTCTTCTTCCTTTTTAATTTGCCTAACATATTTTTAATATCACTGTGATATTATTTTCAGCCTGCTCCAAGAAAAGGAGCCGACAAATCTTCTTTAGGTGCAGGAGTTACTGTTCTTTCAGAGAAAACTCTTTTCTTGGGCCAAAAGGTAAGTGATACAGAAAATGATTAGACTGGTACAGCCATGAGGAATGCTTCATGGTTCTTTCTACAATGTGTATTGCCTCTCATTCCTTCCTTTGACACAGTTATTAGTTTTCTAGGCTCCAAGATCATCTACTGCTCAGTTTTAAGCATGTTAAGGATTGTTATTAATTAAATTGTTTTCTCTTGTTTTAGTTAACAGTGATTCAGTGTGATATTGCAATAGTGGAGGCAGATGCTCTGGTACACCCAACTAATGCATCATTTTATCTCGGTGGTGAAGTAGGTTCGTGCTTTAATCTTGTTCTTACATTACAGGCAGACCACTCTTTGCCTTTTTAGACCTGGGATATCACTTCATTGGTACTCAATGCTAATTGATCTCTTGCTTGAGTGACCAAGACTGTTTTTCTCTTTATAATGTTAGTACAATATCAAGTGGACAAGTGATGAGAATAAAGAATATCACTGAGGGCATGATTAGTTGATCCACTGCCAAATTCTCTGAACAAACACGGGGAGAATGGTGTGGCAGACAGTAAGGAGAAGAGTGAAAAAGGGTTAAACTCCTTTACGCCCTAATGTTTGCATACATGTATATTCTCCATACTGTTCTCTATACATTTCCTGAGGTGTTAATGAAGAGAATTTGTTTAACAATCAAGAGCTACTTTAGTTGGTGATCATCTCCTTTACTCTCATACCCTTAATGAATGATTCACGGGTGATATTGAGAAATTAGATGCTAGTCACTGTTAGGCATCAAGGGGTTATGCAAGTGGAGCTTGACTGTCGCAAATGACAGGAAATAGAAAAGATCCATTATTGTATTAAGTAACTGTTATCATGGGTCTCAATTTGCTAGCTTCCATTCAGTTGAAAAAGCTGATGGAATTTCACCAAAATTATTAATGATTAATTTACTTTCACTCAATCATATTAGAAGTTTTTTTTCTTTTGTTGTTGTTAGGAATGGGATGATTTCAAATGTGCCTAACATTTATTGTTGATGCTGCGTTGATTTTCAGGTTCGGCTCTTGAGAAAGCTGGTGGAAGTGAGTTTAAGGAGGAGGTCAAAAAACTCTCTGAATCTCATGGACCATTAGAACTAGCAACAGGTATGTTTTAACACCTGTTAATCAGTCCAGCTCAAACACAGAAAATATTCTTTTAGCTCCCATTTGGACAAAGTCAGATACACTTGCTAACACAGCTGTTTTCTGGCAGGGATTGTGGTTCAAACTTTGGTTCTTGCAAATTGAAAAATTTGCTTTCTAGTAACTTTTACTTTTAGTTTGGCAAAATTGCATCTGTGGTTCAGATTTGGTCAGCTGATGCAACTGTTTGTTGTGCATATTGTTCATACTGTTCTCTATACATTTCCTAAGGTGCTGACAAGGAGAATTTGTTTGAAAAATACAGAGCTTCGTTAGTTTGTGATCATCTTCCATCTTCTCATAACCTTAATGTTTGAGTTGGGTTGATGCAGTAAGGAGAAATTAGATGCTAGTCACTCTGAGGGGTTAAAGAGCCTATGTCACTTGTAAGTGATCAACACTCCCATTTCTGACAGACGGTTTTTTTTTATATTTCTTCATTAGCGGCTATCTGCGATGGACATAACTTTCCAGCGCAGTATGTGATCCATGTTCATAGCCCACCTTGGGAAAATGATTCTTCAGTTGAAAATCTCGAGAAAGCTGTTAAAAGTGTGTTGACATTGGCTGATGAGAAGAACATCAAATCTATTGCTATCCCCTCTATTGGCAGTGGATCGTAAGTATTTTTTCAAGTATTGATATTGCATGTTTGACTTAAAAACTTGTGCAAAGTCATCACAAATTTATTCCTAAATGCCTCAGATTTTACAACTTCATGAAATTTTCCTTAAAATATTTTCCATTGCAACAGTTAAAAAGTGTTTTTATCACTGAAGGTCCTTCTTAATTCCAACAATGAATGGACTTTCAGAGTTGATTCAATTTATGCAGCTATTGGAGAAACACAATTTAACAAAGGCAGGGTTCTCAATAAGGCAGGAAGTAGATGGCTAGCTTCTTGGACTAAACGGCTGACAATCTGAGATTCTTTCATGGGTCTCATGGTATGCTTCCATACAAAATATCATATTTGAAATGCAGAGACTCTGAAATGTTTTTCTATGCACTCTTTCTGGAGGTAAACCCAAAGCAAAATGGTAGTTTCTTGGCTTGGTAGACACCTGCCAGTAAGAGATTGGAAGTACTTGTTAAATTACTGTGTATGTTTTTGTGGAATGCAAAGACAAATTTTTTTAGAAATAGGTCTCCCCACAGCAGTGGTGCTAAGAGCAGAAATTAGATGTTAGTCAATAAGAGGTTAGTTTGCAAATGCAAAAACAAGTTTCAATAAATTTGGCTCCCCACAGCAGGGGTGCTGTGAGGAGAAATTAGATGTTAGTCACCCTGAGGGTTAAAAGATTTAACAGCCCATCTTAACTGTCTTTTTATTTTGTTTCTCCCGAAAGCAGCAACAACTTCCCCAAAGGCACAGCTGCACAGGCCATCCTGAAAGCCATCTCCAACTATTTTGTGTCCGTCATGGCGTCATCCCTGAAACAGATCTATTTTGTTTTAGATGACATGGAATCCATTGGAATTTACACCATGGAACTTGCGCGTCTTGACTCCTAGGAATTGCTTACACATTTTGTCACATCTTTTTAGAATATTCCATTGTAAGAAATGATCAGGCGCAATTTGTGTCATCATCATCTTGTCTGCCTGTCATGTGCAGAATTTAGCTGTATTTTTTTTTTTATATCTATACTTTCCACTCCTTAAAACTGAGTGTTGATTCTTCTTATTAGCTTCCATACATTTCATTCTGTGTCAGTTTTGAAAAGTGAGGGTTACATCAAGATGAAACCATGACATCTATTTTTGCCAGTATTGTCATTACGTGTCCTTCTTAATAGTGTTGTAATGGGAATTTGCACTCTGAACACTTCTGTTTTACTGACTGTTAGTAAAGCAGCATATGAAAGTATCTGTTCCCTAGACCTGAGTAAAAGGATGGATGCCAAGGAAAATTGCCTCCACGTGCCGAGGGTGAGTTATTCCCCAAACCAGGGCAATATTTATTGTATGGAAACTGTGAAGGAGAATTAACGTTTGATGAAGTAATCACCGTGGGGTTTCATATGCAATTTTTCACAAGCACATTTAACTTGCTCAAGGAGTCAAAATGGTTTACTGGTGACATAAATAGCATAGGTTAAGGCTCCAATGAATCACATGTGGCCTTCCTCTGCCTTTGCAGATCA